AGAAACATCAGCAACAACACTTCAAACATCAGAAACATCAGCAACAATACTTCAAACATCAGCAGCAACACTCCAAACATCAACAACAATGCGTCAAACATCAGCATCAACACCACAAACATCAACAACAATGCGTCAAACATCAAATCAAACCTCACAACCATCAGCAGCAACGCCTAAAATACCAGTAGTCACACTTCAAACATTCGTTCTTTGTAATGGTATCATATATCTACTTTTGTTTTTCGAATCATTTCTTTGATTATTTGTCTATCTCATGGTTGTGCTAAGGACTGTTACTATTGTTCTATTTTAAAGACAATAATTTGACATTATCTTTTTTTAAACAAGAGTTCGACTTTCATCTTTTATATTTTAAATAAAAATACGATCTGCCACTTTTACTTTAAATTTTAACAACAGAAAATCAAACTTTTCGTTTTTTTTTCAAAAAACAAAATTTGAAATTTTTACCTTTGTGTTTTTGTTAAAAGTAAAATGTATCAGTCATTTAATGCTTTACTCAAGTCTTCATCAATAACGAATTCACCAATTGTAGAAACATTGATAAAGGATGGAAACATTTGTCTTACTGATGTTTACATTCGAATTGGAGACATGGTCTTCGTGCAACAAAACTTTTCTCATGCACTTGTAAACTATCAGCATACTGTGAATATTCAACACAACTCCCTATCATCAAAAAATGCAGAGATTGAAGAAGGCTCGATGAAACGTAGCATAGATTCCAAACTTCTTTTTCGAAAAAGCAGTTAGGGAAAAATTCTCTAGGGCGGATGGACCTTATAAATAGTACGACTTAAATAATCAGGGCCTATTATGATCTCTAAGTAGGGATGCATCAATTCCAATTCCTAGAATTGTCGGAATTGGTTGAAATTGGATTTGGAATTGGTTGGAATTGGAAATGGAATTGGTTGGAAACGGCTGGAATCGGAATTGGTTGAAATCGGCAAGAATTAAAATTGGAATTGGTTGGGATTGGAATTGGTTTGGAATCGGTCTAAAAAAATTGGTGATCGATCGACGATTTCTCGAAATATGTGCGAAATCAACGATTTTTAAAAAAACAATTCCAATTTCGATTCCGATTCCAACCGATTCCAACCAATTCCGCCAATTCCTAGTGAAGAATTGGAATTGGAATTGGTTGGAATCGGAATTGGTGCATCTCTATCTCTAAGTGATTAGACGTTATCGTATATTTCTGATTCTGTCTCTTTCTTTCTTCATTCTCTTATTCTTTGATTTTCTTTCTTAGTGACGAAGCCAGGATTTTAGTTTAGGGAGAGCTGAGCTCCATATTCATTCTCCACAGTCTGTGTAAAGTAGTATAAGATGTTTTACGTAAGCTGTCCAACTCGGTGGCATTATTTGCACTCTAAAAGTTCCTGCTCAGTCATATGTTGCTAATTTATTAGTTTTGATTTGCAGATTGATTCAAAAGTCAATTTAACGAAAAAAAAAATCTGAAAATGTCCGTTATATTTTGACCAAATAAGCTGATTTTTTACCACTTATAAAGGTATGTTCATAGGTCATATAGATAAGAATAACATTGACAAACACTGCTTTGAAGTATCATCCTTGACTCAATAAAGAACTCTAACATTTCACCAGCTATGAAAATGCAAAATAATTATAACCTTGACCAAAAAAAAAACTTTATATATCTTTTTTCTATTGACTCTCTATCCTATTGTTCTTTGGTGTGATATTTATACCACGGATACATGCCATGATACTCATGGCATCTTGTCAGTTTCAGCTACAAACAGTACCAATTTCTTGAGAAAATTGCAATATGATTTTTCCATAGATCATGAAAGGTGACAATACTTTATTGACATCAATGGTGATACTTGAAATTAGTATCTTTCAACATTTTTCTTATGAATATAATTTATGAACATTTCTTTATTAACCGTAAAAGATTCAATTCATTTGGTCAAAATCTGGAAGAGATATTCAATTTTGTGGAACTCACATATTTTTCGAAAAAAACATTGATTCTAGATTTTAAGTCGAGATATTTTGGCTTGCCATCCCCTCCCCATTGTCTAACGTAGCCACGAAACCCTCGGTACAGACCTTAGAACCTTCACTCCTCATTGCAGACTTTAGCAATCGAGGACAACAGACGTCAGACTCCTTTTCGTGAGTTATTCAGCAATGGAAAACTATGCTGAAAGACATTTATGGCATGACTTACATTGTTCTAGAGTAGTCGAAAGCCATTCCTCAAAATTTAAATGGCTTCAATACGTTTATAAATGTTCTAAATAGTGCAATTTCTCATTCTTATGCACATAAAAATTTATATTCAAGAGATTAAGGATTATTGGTACTGATACATTGCTTCGTCGCAATTGTGACATGATCAACATAGAAAGCGCCAATTGATCAAATTATAATTTTTGAAAATAGTCAATATCCGTGTTTGTGAATTGATCGAGATATATAATAATGACTTGCTACTGAAGATATAATGTATATACATAACAAGCTTATTTGTCAGGTAATTCAATGTCAAAAATAATAAAAATATCAGATTAGGAAAAAACAAAATATGAAAAAGAAAAATAGCGAACGAATACCAACAAGGAAAAAAAGACTAGAGCGCTAATAGACAAAGAAAAACTTGTGTTCAAAATGTAGAAATGAATAAGGCAGATCATTGTTCAGGTAATCGACTATCTTGAAAAACAACTACAGGGTGTAACAAAAACATTATGCTCCTCTACAACTTAAAGTATAAATAATATCACAAAGTATTTTATATCAAATTAATGCTCATTAAAAACTGGATTTATGAGTATAATTAGAACAATTATTGCCTATGAAATTATTGAAATGTCTTGGATTACATAGCAAAATGCAGTCGTATTTTACGATTTTCATTCTTCATGCTCACATTTCCACAAAAAAAGATAATAGTAGATTCGTAATCCGTAGCAAAGGCTAAGTCTATAGACATGTCATCTATATATTTTTGAAGAAAAAAAGATCTTTGAAAAAAGTCTTGGAAAGGTGCTTCAGACAAAAAATTTTTTGAACTCAAATATCTGGATATATATATATATCGGTGCACGTAGTTGTCGACGGAGATCACGAATTTTATGTTATTTTTGTTGAAAAATCTGGTAAAACAGCAAAAATTGCGATATAAAAGCCTGTTTGGGCATGAAAATGCCCTAGATTGTATAATATCAGATCTATAATAGAACTATCATGAGACGACTCTGAGGATTTTTTCAAAAACCTTTTTTTTTTCTTCAAAAATATACAGATGACATGTCTATAGACTTAATTTTTGATACGGATTACGAATCTACTATTATTATTTTTTTGTGAAAATGTGAGCATGAAGAATGAAAATCGTAAAATACGAGTGCATTTTGCCAATGTAATCCAAGACATTTCAATAATTTCATAGGCATTACACTCATAAATCCAGTTTTTGATGATCATTAATTTTGTACAAAATACTTTATGACATTATTTATACTTTAAGTTGTAGAGGGGCGTAATGGTTTTATTACATCTTGTACAAATATTTTTGAAATTTATCAAAAATATCATCAAATAAGTGGAGCAAATAAGTAAAATCATTTTCTCTTTTTTTTATTACTTTTTGAATTCTCTTATTATTAGATTCATTGTGATAAGATGAACAAAATCAATTTGATGATATACAATTACAGAATGGTGATGAAACATCATGGTAAGCAGATATTAATGTTGATCAAACTTTTAAACAATAAAATAAACCACAAGATTTCCAAGTAAAAATTTTGTTTTCAATTATTTAAATAAAATTAATCTTTTATTTTAAGATTCGAATGAAAATTTTTTTCAAAACTAAGACGATATGCAATATCGTTTTAGTAGAAAACTTTTTTTGTGAATCTTGTGAACATTTTATATTCAACTAGAGGAAAAACTGGTCTCACAATTAGAGTTTAATGGATTGAACTATAGATAAGATATGATCTCAAAAATTTAGCAAATAAGTTTTCTTCACAATACTTGTCGCAATTTTGAAAAAGGTTCCTGTAATTACTTCAATGAAATGCATAATGTTGATAGTTCACAATCTAGAACAACGCACATAATGACATCATAGTTCTAGTTCTATTTAAAAACAGTTCAATTAGAATTAAATTGATCAGCTTAATTCTTGCTGAAATATGTCTACACCAATTTGTAGATATTTACCAAATCTAAAAATTGAGATGTCCTATCAAGATAGACTTTTCTCTACTGTTTAAAAGGAAAATTTTTAATTGACACAAAAAAAAAGACTTTAGACTTCAGTTCCAAAGGCAATTGATCAAATTTGCGAAAGAAAATATGATAAATTTTTACAAATGGCATTGACCAGTTGAAGAAATAACCAATTTCTTCTAGACAAATAAAATAAATTTACTAGAAAAAGTTTACCATTTGAAAAATACTCATCTGGATGACAACATCGACGTAGAATAATCATTATCTGTTGGTTGATCATATTTAATAGAATTATTTATGAAATAAATATTTTTCAAAACGAATAGGTGAATAAATTTGATAGAATCTTATCAGCATACATAATGTTGAAAGGTATTTTCTTGTTACTTAATAAGAAATTTAAATATTTGACGAATAAAATGAAAATGTTGTCATAGAGTAAAATGAATTTCTCTATAATTATTGAGATAAGACATATCTGATGATCATCTTTTAGAATGTTTATTAAAATAATTTTCGTCATAAAATATTTCAAACAAAAAACAAGAAACATATTCTAGGTAGATCTTTTTAAGATATTTTGTTGATGATATAATTTAATTTACAATTGACAACAGAAAAAAAGAAAAATATTCTTTCAATTTATGTTAAAAATGAACATATCTAGAAGTGTATCTATAATCGAAATAAGTACTAAAAACAAATTCTTTAATAAATATTTGATATCATTTCTAAAAAGAAAACTTGATCGATTGTTTTTATCTCTTTTTTTATGAGATTGTAGTAATGGCCATAATATTGTATCATATAATAGAAGAATTTTGTGTTGATAATTCTACAATAGAATTTGTTATCTTTTGCAAGGAGATTGTAAGTTTGTCGATACAATGAGAGTCGCATTTAACTTTGACAAAATTAAAAGAAAACTTTCCAAGTAACATAAAGAAAAAAAAATGTTATTTTATTTCTTCCGAATAGCAAAACAATCAAGTTACATATATTATATGAATCAGAAAGGAAGAGACTTTTGTTTATAACAATCTCAACATTCTATTTAATAGACTTTCAATATTCCAACAAGTGACTTTTTTTTATAAAACTTTAAGGTTTGATTTAGAAATAATATAATTGCAAATGAGCTCATCGTCATACTCAACAATTATTAAATACGATTCTAATTTATCTTTTAGGTAAATGAATGAAATTAATTCAATAACAACTGAAAATAATGTATTTAATTGTGAACAAATTTTTTCGAACGATTTAACAAAAAGATCTAAACAATACTGAATTAGTGATCACTGTATGACTACGAAATGTATCATTAAATACAAATGAAAACTTTGATTATAATTGAATCTAAAATTGAAAATAATTCTGCTCTATTGAAAAATTTTTTATGATCAATCAATATTATGTGAAGAATATATTTGAAAAAGTTTAAAAAAAAAATCTCAAAATATTTTTTATTCTTTCAATTGAATATTGTTGAAAATCTCTTAGAAAATAATTTATTTAATTTATATTTATAATCAAGATTTAAATAATGAAAAATAAAATAATTATTCAAATGTCATCATAAAAGTAATAATTGAAGATTTAATCTATTCAAACAAAAAAGAAAACTATACTCTATAGATTAGAAATGTATATTATGATCTGAATAAATTAGTTGTTGATTTGTCTTACGATATAAATAATATAAACAATTACTAATAACTATTTTTAGGTATTCTTACATTTCATTTTTTTTGTTTATATTAGATTTATATAAACGACTTAACAAAATTTATAAGGAATTTATTGATTCAAATGACTATGCAGATAATATATATATGATATTATTTATAGAGGATAATTTATATTTGATAATGAACTTAAAGATCTAAAAGATAATTTAAAATATGATTAAAAAATATCGATCAATAGTCTTTTTTTTTTCTTGAGTTAGTCGAACAGAAGAAGTTGCATTGATATTTTCTGATTTAAATAATTTGTTTAAAATTTCTTTTCAATATAAAAAATCTGTTTTATTTGAAATAAATATTAAATATGATCATCAAAATATTATTAAAACAAAAACTATTTGCTGATATATAAATCATTTATTCAATAGTAATAAATAATATGAATAAGAAATTTTATTTATGATTGATTCATTTTTTTAAATTGATGAAATTATTGAAAATAAACAAATTGATAAATTTGGATGAAGAAAAGTACAATAAAACAATAGTAATACTTATTAAATTAACATTAATTAATGAAAATGATTTAAATATTTTCAATTATGAATGATTTTCAAATTTCAAAATCAACTAAAATAAATCGGAAAAAATTAATTCGAATTAGTAATTTATTAATCGATTATTTGTTATCAAATAAATTTTCATATTCACAAGCTTTACTTAATCACTTTGAATTTACTATGGAAACAGCATGTTTAAGAAGTCAACCTTGGATTCCATTGAAAAAAGAAGACTATAAATTAGCAATTGACTTCGTATCTAAAGCTTTACTAAAAGATGATAAATTCAACAAAGAATTAACAATAACTACTCTAAATTATCTGACTGGAGCTTATTCAAAGTCAAAAAAATTATCATAAAGCATTAGAATATTATAATAAAGCCTATAATTTATCAAAACCTACTGATGATATGATAAAAAACGGTCTCTATTAAGGATTATGTATTCCAATTGATAAATATGCTATGTATGATAATTATCGAAATATCTCATCAATTAATATAGCATCTATTTATCAGAAAAAATGGAAATGTTCAATTAGCATGGAATATGTATCAGAAAGCTGTTGACTATGATATGCGGGATACAACTGATTTTCATTATGTATTCTCCCCAAAATGTACAAAATTTTAAAAAAAACTCCTGCAAATTTTCCCAATTTTTCAGAAAAAGTGATGACGAAAAGGTTTCTTGATCTTGGATTAACCGATATATTAAAATATCGTACGCCAGCAATTACTGAACATCTATCATTGACATATCAATATGATTTTCCTTCATATCGTTATAATAATAGTTATTGTCGAACAATGGCAATTGATTATTTTCGACAAGTTGAATATCATTGTAAACAATATGCTTCTAATCATCAATATTATCTTTATACTTTACAATGTTATGAATATCTTGCAACGCTCTATCAATATTCTAGTGATCGATCTATTGAATATTACAAAAAAAATGATTGAATTATGCCTTAAATATTGTTCAAATGATCTGGAAAATTTGATTATCGATTATAAAGACATGATTCAAACATACAAACAACAACAATCAATAAAAATAGTTAATTCAGAAGATATTTCAACATTAGTATGTACTTCTAATAATCATATAGAAGTTTCATTAATTGAAACATCAATGATACCACCCGTTACACCAATGCCAGCACCGCTAACACCTATAATTTCGTCGATATCTGGAAGACTTTTTGAAAATATCAAACATTTACATTTTACATTTGATTTCTATGATAAATGGATTGATCTACGATTTGAACATGAATTAGATCTACAAAAGAAAATTATTTATTATCATATGAAATTAACTGCTTTATATTATGATCAAGAAAAATCCATTGAAGCTAAACATTCTTTAGTAGAAGCCACTTTATTATATCGAAAAATTGGTTCAGAAATGAAGGAAATAATAAAAAATTTGTCATGAAAATCTTTCATTTATTGATAAGAATTTTGATAGTATTAGTGAATATACATATATATATATAAATCGTTTCACAACAACTATAAATACAAATAATTATTGTATTAATGAAAATAATCATTTCAATTTAGCATTTGAATATTTAAATAAAGTAATTAAACGTTTTGAAAAACATAATTATCTATATCAACATACAATTAATTATTATATGAAATTAAAAAAAAATATTATCAAATGATTAAAAATAATATGAAATCAAGTATTATAACATATGAAAATATAGTTAATCTTGTAAAACATTATCGACAATATCCTATCATAAGAATTATTTTCATAATTCAACAAAATTTCATTAATTTTTTTAAAAATAAATTTGATTTAAATACTAGGGGTCGACAAGCTCAGCTCAGTTCCGCTCAGAGGAACTGTTCGAACAGCTCTTTTGAGCTGAGCTGAACTGGTGAACCGGTTCGTTTGAGCTGAGCTGAACTGGTGAACCGGATCGTTTGAGCTGTGAGCTGTGTTCCCAAAACGGAACACTTTTGTTCTTTTCTGGGAATTATTTCCCAAAAATAGAACAATTTTGTTCTTTTATGGGAAAATTATTTCCCAAAAATAGAACACTTTTGTTCTTTTATGAGAAAATTATTTCCCAAAAATGGAACAATTTTGTTCTTTTTTGGGAAAATTATTTCCCAAAACGGAACACTTCTGTTCTGTTATGGGA